GTCCATCCACTATCCATCTTTGCTTATAATGCTTATGAAATAAGACTATATCGAGGCGATACGCTCAGTATGCACATATGCCAATTAGCGGCTGACCAGTTGCAGTCCTAAACATCAATGGGAAGATTCAAACAAACAATACTAAGTGAATTTAAATTTCATCTTCATTTATGAAATTTTACATTTTATCTTTATGCAATAAGCTTATGACTATATTTCACGATTCTCTAGAAATGTTATAATGTACTGAAGAAGAAATCTACAAAATGTAGTTTAAAGTGTAAATAATAAAAACTTGACTATAAACCGTAAGCGTTTTTGATGAACAGTCATTTGTTCTTATCATTAAACTTCTAACTTTAGTATTTGAAGTTATTAAAAGTGAGGAAAAGCGGTCTAGTTAAAACAACTTGGCTGTATACTTAGAAAATGAGTATGACAATATAAAAATGGAATGTTATATTTTAAAAAATCCTAAGAAAATGTAGTAAACAAATAAGGAATTTATCCTGAAGCGAATAAATGGAATCCAGTAGAAGTGGGTTTCATTTCATAGGGATATGCCATAAATGACCACTTATTCAATTTGTCACCAAATACACTAATCTGAAACAATAAGGAATGATGTGGAAGCTTTTGGATTGAAGTATAGTGTGAAAATACCCTGGATTTCTATTGTTTTCTTAGATTCCCAACGTTCTGGTTTAAAGCATAGAATATGTTGAAAGGGATTTATTGAGGTTATCCGGTTGGCGATAAAATGCACCCTTAATTTCTAGTTTACTGTTTTCATTTGATTGAAATTACTAGTCCGATAATACTTAAAAGGCTAACAATTGCAATTCAATCAATAATTAATCTCGCTTCGACATTGTTGCCAAATATGAAACTAACATCAACGAGGTTAAATGACAGTCATATATTTTCTACATAAACATGTCTACAGCTTACTTTTTGGATAAATGAATGTAGTCCTTCATTATAGTCTGGTTTTCTGAAATATATCTACGGGTATATCATTTGATTTTTTGTGTTTATAAAACTTTAAAAAATTGGATTAAGACGTCGGGTCGAAATTAATTTGATAAAAAGAATATATCATGTTCTAGTAATTATTGCATTAACTTCATATTCAACAATCTGATTATTGAGACAATTCAGAGAAAATGATTTCTGTCATATATCAAGAACATGTGCTTTTAAAAGAACTTTATCCCAAAACTTTTAACTCGAGAAATAGTCTTTGAAATTAAAACATGCCCATTGTGGAGATTACAGAAATATCATAATTTTGAAAACCGTTTGTATGTCGGCTCAAAAGTCTACAAGCTAGGCGTTCGCGTACGAAACCGATGATCTTTAGCTCGATTCCGGAAAGTGGATGCTTGGATGCACAGGGCTGGGAGGGTCCCACAGTAGAACAAGACGGCTATATATATATAGTCTTGAGGGAACGGGTGCTCCCTGACTGATTACAAGTACACCTTGCTGAGGAGTGCTATGTAGTACAAAACCCGGGTCCAGGTTTCCCTGTTGACCACCTTCAAGCAGCATCTTATCTCAACATAGATCCACCTAGACTAGTGACCACATCGAAACTTGATCGATAGCATTCGATCTGCACTAAGAAGGACTTGACACACATGACATTGATCACCACCCAGTAATCAATCAATTGTGATACCTGAATCGAAGATGTTTGAAAATCTACCAGCATCTACTGATACTAAAATTGAAGTATTCTGTCAAATGAATTCATTTTCATAGTTATCTATATTCAACCATTTGAAAGAAGTAAATGTGTTGTTAAACTGTTGATCTATATTCATGGATGAGTAAAGTTGAATTCAGTCTTATATTATCCGGTTAAAAGAATTTTCAATAAAGATACTTGACACAGTTACAAGTTATAGATTCACTTTTGCTTTATATTTACATGTTACTATGAAAAAAAACATTCACAAAAAGGAACTTGGCAACTTTCCAATATCAATTCTTACTAACTAAACAACCGTAAAAGAAATTTAAAGTAACTTTTCACTCCTTTTAATTTAGATTTATAAAATAAATAATAACCTTGTTAACTAATGAAAATAAACACCACCACCACCCCAAAAAAAACAATTTAACCTAATGTAACCAAACAAATACATATGGATGACAAAAATTGAAAGGTTTAATGTTTTAATCTTTTTTAATAAAATTTACAAAATCATTCTATTGTAAATATGATAAATGAAAATTAACTTATTGTTTAGTTTTCTTTATTTATTTAATATCAATATTCTTTTTACTAAAAATAATCATTATGAATAAAACAAAAACAAAAATGCGTAGACTTTATGTAGATTCCAAAAACGAAACACACACACACACATCGGAAAGATGGAGATTGTGGAATTGTTTATAATCAAGAAGTCATAAATCAAAATTATTTAAATGTGGTAATGATAGAGATTAATTTATTTGATGGAGTTGTATTGTTCAAAATAAATAATAGACAGTATCTATGTCATATGAATTTCAATTTCAGTTTATATTTTATGTAGATGTAATGATTAAATTCATTTGATATTGTTTAGTTGAATCATTTCATTGATGTTTAGGAGTGCAATTGATGAGTCTCTTCTTGACACATGCGTATATGGTGCTTAATGATTCGATATTGCCATATTTCACAAGCATTATGAGCAAAGATGGATAATGGCTAGCAGTGAAATCCAGGACGCGCGTTTCACCCTATTTGGGACTCGTCAGTTGGATGTACTTGCATCTCAGAGTTGATGTTCACTCTCGGACTTGAAATCAGTACCTTTCGCTTCAAACGCCACTGCGTTATCCACTCAGCTACTGAGTCCTGATAGCGACTTGCTTGTGCAATGGCTTGAAGTTTAAATTCAACTTAGTATTGTTTGTTTGAATCTTCTAATTGATGTTTTGGATAAAAACCGATTAGTCTCTTATTAGCATTCTGTGCATACTGTGCGTATTATCTCTATATTGCTTTAATTCACAAGCATTATAAGCAAAGCAAGCAAAACACTGTGGACTGTTAATAGTAGAGAAATTAGACATGCACATTTTGCTAGGTCTGGAGCTTGTTATTTAGATCTTCCTTAACACCAGCTAACGAGTCCCAAACAGGAAGAAACGCGCATCTTGGATTTCACTGCTAGCCAGTATCTTTGCATAAAATATATTGATTTTTTGTTGTGGTTTATCTTAAGGTTAGGCACAAGATAAAAGTAGGAGAGCCTGATGGACTGAGAAAGATTTTAACGTTAGTCATGCGTCATAGACATTTATTCATTCCCATCTTGTCTAGTTTCAGTGCTAGTATTGGGTTATATTAGCATAAAACTAAGGGGAAAGATAATCGAGTGTCGTGAAATTATTGAACATTGACCTGATTTGAAGCATAGATTTATTGCTCGAAATCTGTAAAATAGCAGTAATCTACGATTCAAAATCTCAGATGGAATGTCTAAAGCACTTTGGATTTTTAATAGTAGATGAACTCGGCATGCGTATTTCTTTCGGTTTGGAGCTTGTCAGATGAGTCGACTTTAACACCGGTATTGCTATTTATATTGAGGCTCAAATCCAATATTACTGTAATATTCTTTCAGTCTAGTTAGCCTCAAACCATTTACGATTTTTGGTAAGAAAATAAGTGAAAACAACTATACTATTCTTTTGAGACCTAAAATTTAATTCAACTTAGTATTGTTTGTTTGAATCTTCCCATCGATTTGTTAGGACTGCAACTGGTCAGTCTCTAATTGGCATATGTGCATACTGTGGGTATTGCCTCGATATACCTTAATTCACAATTACAGACTGACCAGTTGCAGTCCTAACAAATCGATGGGAAGATTCAAACAAACAATACTAAGTTGAATTTAAACTTCACCCCATCGCACAAGCAAGTGGCTATCAGGACTCAGTGGCCGAGTGGATAACGCAGTGGCGTTTGAAGCGAGGGTACTGGGTTCGAATCCCAGAGTGAACAACTCTGAGATGCAAGTACATCCAGCTGACGAGTCCCAAATAGGACGAAACGTGCGTCCTGGATTTCACTGCTAGCCACTATCCATCTCTTTTAAAATTTAATATCCTTACTCATTTTCAGAACTAAATGGTTTGAATGCATTAGGATATTATAATAGCCTAATAATTTATTTAATACTTGATCTACTTCATTCAATATATTTATTTCTCTTCATGATGATTATATTCTTTATAAAAGGACAGAGATCTTAAGCTCATTCTTTGAGATTGAATGCCATTTCAAGAAGTGTAATTACTACACTTTCAAAAAATAATGGAATACTAAAATGAGATAAACAATAAACTATTCACAATTGATTGGTCCCAAATAGTGAACGATGTCATTTTTTTCAAGTACTTTGATCACCTAATATCCCATAATGGTGCATGCGATGTTGAGTCACTTATACTACAGACTACAATGAATCTTAATCGATTGAAATTGATTAGCATTAAGAAGGACTTGATAAACATGTCACTAATCACTACTGAGTAACCAACCCACTAGATAGTATCAATTCTATCAAGATTACAGATATATATCTAGATAACGAATGCCAAATGTCAGGAAACCTAGATCAAAATTATTCTGTCTATTATTTTTTCCTATAATAGTCAATTGATTGATCTATAGTTATGTAATACACATATAATTAATCATTTCAATTGAATCATCTTAATTAGAAAGGGTTTTGTGGAGATGTCAGTATTTTCATAGTTGAAATCATGAGTCAATTGAAGCTAGACCACCATGGAAAACCTGGAATCACTGGACGACCGTATCGCCCTATTACTGGACTCCTCAGCAGTGCGCATCCACGATCCCGCTGTCTAGTGCTTCCAGGTTTTCCATAGTGATCTAGCTTCAATTGATTCATGATTTCAATTATGAATCATCTTAGTTTATTTCAGACTTTAATAAGAAATATTAAATACATTTATTCACTTACCAATTGATTAGAAATACTTTCATGTAAAAATTGTGCAAAAATATATTCATGCATTTAATTTTAAGTATTTAAATATGTGTTTACATACTTTCCTATCAGTGATTAGCTAATTGAGATTTTGTTAGTTCATTTTTCTTCTTTTTTTAAAATCGATCAATACTTTTGTTTCCATTGATACAATTTAACTGATAGGCTTGATCTGTAGACAATTATTTTGTAATTTGTGAACGTTTAGTATTAGTAATGTACATCATTGCGAATAGATTATAGCCATAATATAAAATATACAAATATATATATATATATATATATATATATATATATTGAGGTTCAGTTGCTAACATCTATTATAGTGTAGATGTAGGCGATGATTGATGAAAGTATGGGTTCCTGCAACAACCTTATAATCTGTAATATAACTGTGTCATTCACTAGTTGGATTCACTATTTTCTTATATCTTTCTTTATCATCCATTGAAGGTTTACTTACTACATGAATGTACAAACATGGATTCTATTCCAACGTTTAGTTTTCTCGACTTAACACTGTCTAAGTAGTTTCTGTAAATGTATCATCATCGGTATTTAGTTGTAAACAGGAATGAGTCACTTCTCAGCTAAAATAAACTATTATGAAGATTTACTTCGTAAATTTTGTCACCATAAAAAGATTTCAGTCGAAATAGTCTTGTTGGTTGAAGATTATTCATTGTTGATCAAACTGTCAAAGAAACTTCCATATTTTGCATTTAAAGTTATCAATGTGAAAAGCGTAGATTGGAAACTTGGCCAACTATGATGACGTTTATTTTCTTTTATTGAAGTGATTCTTTAAAAATATATGTAACTAAATTCAAACTCTCAATTATTTGTTCCAAGGTTTTGAAGCATAAAGATAAAGCAGTTTTTCAAGTAATTAATGAACAACCTTCAAAATCAAGAGACCAATCAATAAACCCTGCAGAGTATTGTCGTATTAGAAAAACTGAACTGAATATTAGCGCATGAAATTTCCGATATGCTATCAACGAAATGTTTATTTAACTAGTTAAGCCTGTGATAAGTGATAATTTTAATATCTAAGCCCTTAAATTTATGTTCCTAATAATAACAATAGACTTTCTGATTTCTGAGTAAAAATAATAATTGATTTACAAGACTTGGATGATTGAGCAACAGAAATTTCATCTCAGATGAATCATTATTGATCGATATAAACGGTAATTAAAAATTTAATGACAGTTTATAAATTATCCTTTTAAAGGCTGTTAAAATCGATTGATCGATTTCGTAAATGTTTGCAAATAAATCTGATAGTTTTATCATATCAAAAATAATCATAATAAAGTATTGATTTTTATGAAATTAGACTATGTGGGTAATAAATCTTCTTGCTTAATTATAGATTTTCTAAAAAAAAGTATCTTGACATGAATAATTTAAGCATGAAATTTTGACTTCATCTACATTTTCGACTCAACTATATTATGCCTGTTTATGGAAATCTTGACTATTCTAATTTAAGACTTCACAGAATCGGACATCAATGATTATTTTAGTTTAATAAGGTTAGTAACCGTTACTTTTTTCTTGCCAAAGTGTTACTACTTAGTTAGGACATTATAATTGGTTATTTCTCGTTTTCTGAAAATCTTTATTCAAATTCGGCAAACTCAATTTATGATCAAGTGTGATGCTAATCAAATCGACGGTTGATAAGTATGGTCAATGAATATATTCAGTTTGCATGACAAATAAATTGAAGGTGAAGAATTTAAACAATAATGCATTGAATATACTATGATTGATGTGTGGCTGAAAATTGTTAGTTTGGATCATCGATTTGAACGGATTCAAATTTGAAGGAAGTTAGTAATTCTTTTGGCTGTCGATGATGTTACTTCTATTTTTATGTGATGATGAAAACTTCTCAGCCGATTAAAATCTCAGACTTCTGTTTAAGTAGTAACATACAGTGATAGAATGAACTTAAATGCAATATACTAACTCTGATATTAATCTGTATCTTCACATTGATTTCTTTTCTTATAAGATTTTCTCCTATGGAAAACATGTCTTTTTTCGTACTTTGTTCTCAAGACATTCATTTCGGAAGGTTGGGAAGTTGGTCTTCATGTAACCAATAGAATCAATTAAATGAAAAACAGAAGAAACCAGAGTATCATTTAATATAAGTACATGGAATATTCGAACACTGTGAGAGAGAGGATCTGATGCAGACGTAAATGCGAGGACTGGTAAATCAAGGACATATGAATACATCTTTCAAATAATATCAAAGTGAGAATCTTCAATATGAACTTGAAGACAATTCTACTGTATGGAGATGAAAATTCGAGAACTACTCCAACCATCATGAAAAATGTACCAGTATTTATAAACAGTTGTCTTAACAAGATACTTTATGTCCATTAACCGGATACCATAAGCAACAGCTTACTATGGAAGAGAACAAACCAGCTTCCATCTGAAGAGTAAATAGGGAAAACACACTGCAAATGGATAAGACATACATTGGAGAAATCACCAAACTGAATCACGAAGTAAGTCTCAATTTGGAGTCTTGGAGGCAAAGAGAAAAGCGTCAGACCAAAGAACTTACTGCATTGGGAATCGATGACGGACATCTAAAGAATGAATACCGAATTGCTACAGTTGGTTAGGAGAACGTAGGACAGAGTTGGATGGAGAATGATAGTGAGCGTGCTCTGCTCCTTCACGAGAGGTAACAGGAGTAAGTAAGTCAGTGTGAGTTTTCAAAACGAAAGCAATTAACTTTAAAATGAGATACATTCTTATACTATAGAGACAAAATTGAAACCTTTGGTATTCTGTGCTGCAGAGCTTAGGTAATATTTACTATCGTTAAATGTACTAGTTCAAAAGTTTTAACTTCCTACATTTTGTCGAGTATGTATCAGATCAGGTTAACGTAACGTCTTTGAGCCTTATTACTGAAAGTGAAACTTCTCAGGGTATGCATTGGCAGGCTGCTTTGTTCAACATATCTATTACACATAGTTTTTTTTATTTCATCCTTCCATTTAAATTCGCCCTGTATTCCTTGCAGTCACACTAGGACACAGTAACTATTTTCCAACCTCCTTCTTTCATAGTATTGAATACTGGCTATCGTAGTTTTTTCTCAGCCATCTTTGTAGCAATACTCAATATTTTACAGATTAGAGTGTAAAATACGCCAGATTTATTCATGTAAATTTAGTACATTTTCGGCTTTTAAAAAAATATGTACCAATATGTAATTTTCACAGTTGAAATCATGAGTCAATTGAAGCTAGACCACCATCGAAAACCTGGAAGCACTGGACGGCCGTTTCGTCCTATTACTGGACTCCTCAGCAGTGCGCATCCACGATCCCGCACCCGCAACATTCGAACCCAGGACCTACCAGTCTCGAGCCGAAGCCCTTAACCGATAGACCACTGATCCGGCATTCAACGGTGTTAATGTCTAACTTCAACCAATCCACGATTTGGAGAGACCGTTCACTGGATGATTTCAACTGTGAAAATACTAAATTCTCCACAAAACCCCCTCTGATCTACAATATGTAATTGTCTACTAGTCAGTAGTTTTTCAGTGATTATTAAAATGTATAGCCTGACTAAAATATATAATTACTTTGATCGTTTTGTTCGGAAGACAATTGTTCCTTTTAGGCAAAATTTTCATACATTGGTCTCGGAGATTGAATACTTTTAGTATCTCATTGTGTAGATTTTGAAATCGTATTGTTTTACATATCATCAATTTACTGTAAACATCAATGGAGTTCATCCAAATTATCTTCATATTGCGAAGGCTGTTTGATAAAAGGATGGCAGTGCTATTATTAAAAATAATACTCTAAATTACTATTGTTTTGTGTTTTTATACTCATTTATATTCTATGTGTAGTAGATGTTAAAGATAAAATAGTACAGCGTAATCTACTCCATTTGTATAAACAATAAACAGTGAATTATTTATCGCCTTAGGGATTATGTTATAGCGGCTCACGTACAATTGAGTTTGATCGTTATTCATTTAGTTAAGCCCTTTTGTTAACTCATTTAACGGACAGAGTCATTTGTACAATAACAATTAATCTATACTATTGTACCTTTGTTGCTTTTGCACTTGTATGAATATGTATGCTTGAGCATTGTTTACTGACTACTCATATATTCACATTGCTAGCCTTACTATCAGTCGCTCAATTGATGCTATTGTTCATCCATTTCACTATGTATATTGTGTACATTTTAATCCTGCTCGCTGACTTGCATACTCTCACATTTGTTCACTGAATCGATCACTCGCTCGCTCATTCGACTCGCACGCTCAGTCGCTTGCTTTACAGCACTACTCTTTCATGCTTGCTTAACGTGCCTGTAATTTGGGCGATCTGTGCGTGGTTTAATAACAAATGCAATCAACACTACATATTCACCTTCTGATTTATGCACCGTTGGGGCGTTATCTAGCAACGGTCATCAAGACGAACAATACACGAATTTTAAGTGTAATATTGAGTACCAACCACCATAAAGTAAAAGATTTCCCCTTTCTCAATCAGTTTAATATTCTTTATGTTATCATTTGATTTATAATTCTTAAGTAAATTCATTTGTAGAATAATTTGACATTCGTAAAACTTATTTTCAAACTTTTTTTTTCTTTTGAGGTACTTATGTTGTCGTTCCATTATTCAGCAGCTATATATCATGGAAATTTGAAAATTTGATTATGAAACCGAGAATAAAAATTAATGGTACAATCCAAATATTAAAACTTGAAAAAAATTTCCACAATGATTCTTTTTGCATTGAATACAAACTTTTTTTTAAAAAAAAACTGTATATTATTACCTAAGAGATCATTATACTGACGAATACTTCAGAAAGAGAACATTTATACAAAATCAGTTTTACAGTCATATTTAACTGTCATTACATAATTAAATGAAATCAACAAACAAGTAATGGAGATTTCTGATAGTTAAAATTCCTTGAATTCAATTCAAATTCAT